ATTAGTAGTAGTAGTAGTTTTTTTTTTTTTTTTTTTTTTAATAGTAGAAATAGACGTGAAGCAAGAATTATTGCACTTACGGACTGTGGATGAAGAGATAAATGAACCTCTGATATCAGTAACAAGAGCAAGCACTACTGTGATCACTAAACACGACAACATTTTTCCTTCCGGTACAATAGATCGGATCTATCAACGATACCGCGATCTAAAAGAAACTGCAGTCCAGTTGCATCGGAATCTCTGGTTTTATGTCCCTTTATTGTTGTATAAGCTCGTAGATGCATTGTTTTCATTCGACACCTTTTTAGTGCTGATTTCATTACATCTTCGTGGTATTTTAAGGGTAACCCCGAAGATATTGTGACGTTATACAGGATGAAGAAAAATAATCAGTGCCATTATAACGAAACACCAAGATTACGATGATTCTGGTAGAATTATTTACTGTGAGGAAAATCAGTACTTTGTCCATAAGATTTTTAATTTAGAGTGTAATTGTTTGTACGTCACCCGCATTGAAAATAAGTTTCATATCAATTATAATGTTAATTTTAATACCAAGAAATTTGTAATTCAGTTTTTCGAAATGAAAATGTACATCTATGTACACATGTAAACACTATACTTCAACCAGAAAATCATAATTAATTTTTTGCAGAGGAAAAATCTGCTTACACTTAACATAAAAAAAATATACATGAATACGTAAAACTACACGAAATCATTTTCAATGTTTCTTTGTTGTAATAAAAATGATTCTATGCCCAATTCTAAACTGATGAATTTTTATTATTTATTTTTTAGACTTATTGAAATAAAATTGTTTTTGATTGCAAAAGCTTATTAAAGTAATCAAAGTAAGGTAATTATAAAATCTTTAGTTTTTATGCTGATAACAATGTTTTTATACAATTATTCTTATTACAGAAGCATTAGATTACTAACTCTTGTACGTGATAACTATTATTTAAAAAATTCAAGAATCATAGATATATCAGAATCCGTAAGAATTATTTTTTAAGTGTAAAATGTTTGTTACGGTAATGAATTTTCTATTATTCATAAATAAAAATTTATAAAAATATTGCTACAACTACTTGAAGGTGTTAATGGGTATCTAACAAATGTTTATTGGTATTTCCAATTAATATAGTATTCAAATATAAACAAAATTGATAATATATTATACAAGTACTACCATTCACGGTAGTGCATGCCAAACTTATAATTGTATGATTTTTGAGTTTATGATTCGAACAAACTGAGTGAAAAAAAAACCGAAGTTGCTTGAAAATCGGTATGGCACATTTACAGTTGAAAAATCTTCGAAAGTATAGAATCAAAATTCTTCAGGCTGTGCTAAAATAAAATTTGCATAATCGTTTCAAATTAATTTCTCTAGATTCCTGTGACACTGACAATTAGTTTAGTTGATATATTTACGAAAGTCCCCCTAGCAGTACTTCGTCATATATACGTGACTTTGTATAATACAGTAAAACTTGAGGCTCAATGGGTACAATATACATATGTGGTAATAAAAATAAAAATAACGTGCTGGTAAGAGTTTTGTAAACATTAAAAATTTTATTCAGAATGATGTGGTGTAAGAACAATTTTATTTTTATTTTATATAATTCCACGTGTTTTACAAACATTTTTCCATTTACATCGATATTGCAGGAACAAGTACCCATTCACTGATACTTCCACATGGCAGCCATACAGTGTGTTTCTTAACTATGAGGATAAGCTTTTGCTTTCGGTAACAAAAATTGCCGCCAGAGTAAGTGATATTTCATCAAAAACGATGAACAACACGTCAACGGTAGGAAACTCGTACCCCATTGGCCTTGCCAATTAATAGCCAACGGTGGTGGAGTTACCAGACTTTAACGTGTTAACAATGTGTTGCGTTGCCATCTGCTGTTTCCTCATTATTCTGAAAATAAGAAAATAAAATCACAATTTTATTTAACCACTATGAAAAAACTAAACAAAAAATTTGCTGCTAATTATTTGACATGAAGCATTCTTAAACTCTAATTAATTACTATTTTTTATTTTTGTTTCTCATTTTAGCTATGCAAAAAATTTTTTATTTTAAAAATTCGTATTAAAACTTATCTCATAATTGTACAGGTTTTAACTAGTTAAGAATAAAATTTTCAAACAAAACATATTGAATAAAACATTAATTTACAGATTAAGTATCAC